GCAGGCTTGGTGATTTTCCTGCTTTGCCAAGAGTTCTAGCAGGAGGGCTGCTAGGTGGCGTGGTGGTTAAGGTGCTGGACTCCCACGTGGCCAACCATGGTTCGAGTCTTGGACCTGGTGGCTTGCTTTCTCACTTTCCCCTTCTCTGTCTCTTTGGTCAAATTAAAACAAAAATTAATAATAATAACATAATTTTAATGAAAAAGTCCCGACAGGCCCTTCCAGCATTTGCTTAACGGCACAGGGCACAGGTCGGAGCTCAGAGGCCTCAGTAACAGGATAAATTAAGTCTCTGCAAAATAAATATTAAGGTTGAAATAGCCAAGAGGAAGAAGAGAGCAGGGGACAAACAGAAACACAGCCCCAGGGCCCCTGGCTGAAGCAGGCGTTCTGGCTGCCGTACAGAAGGCTCTCGGCCAGGCCCATAGGGCCCACCAGCTGTCCGGGCTGGTCGCGAGATGGCCACGGCACAGACGGAATCCACTGAGCTGAAAGCTGACAGCGTGCCCTGCTGCCTGGCAGTCACCCCCACGGGAGCCGGGCAGGGCCCCAGCACCGGCTGCACCCTCTCCAGGCTCCAAGGAGCCCTGAGCACAGACCAGTCTCCACCTCTGCCTCAACTCCACAGGGAGCCAAGGAGGAGAGAGCAAGACCCCACTGAGGAACAGTGGGAAAGCACGCCTACAGGGCAGACCCCAGTTCTGAGAACAGCCACCTGAGGGCCGCCCGCCTGGCCCTAGCCCTCCCCTCTCCATCGGGCAGTGCAAGTGGCCCCCCCTTGTCCCTCCCTCCCCACCGGGGCCCCACTTCCGCACAGGGTCAGGGCTGCCCCGCTCCTGGCACAGCACTCACCAAGCACACCTTTCACATGGGGTCTTTAGAGCCCCTTGTCCTTTCCCAGAGGCCGGGAGTGTGAACACGCATGAGTGTGGTCAAGCGCTGTGGAATTTCAGGCACGCCCCCCACACACTCACTTAGAAAGCACTCAGGCAGGCACACCCAGTGAGATGCACACCCCATGTACAATAGCCGCACCACCTCTGCACACCCCTTCCGGTTCACAGGGCTCGGGAGCCCCAATGCAAGGGCCAAAGCTGTGGGTCGCCCAGCCGAGGGTGTGGGAGCACCAGCCAGACACCCAGCACCCCCTCCACTAGTGACATGTACTGTTCCCACCTTCTCGTCAGTGTGGAGTCCTGTCACGCCGAGCACCCCTCAAAACAAAAACACCACGTGCTCAGCTCCATCACTGATGCCATTTGCTTTAGAGACCGTGGGGCCAGGCCGAGCCACAGTGCTGCCATGGCTCTACAGGGCTGGGCCCCGGGAGTCCTGGGGCCTCTGGTACACCCCAGGGCTGGCAGAGGCTGGGGGTGCTTCTGCATCTCATGGAAGAGATAAACACATCCACTGTAGGGGGGGAGGAAAGAGGCCCAACAGGGACCCCGTGCCTCCCCATGTGTGGACGCAGAGGGAAAGCACTGGACAGGAGCCAGGAGACACAGCCTCCGCAGAGCCAGCCGCAAGGGCTTGCGCAAACTCCGGGCCTGCGGAGCTGCAGGAGCGCATCTCGTGTCTGCTTAGCCTGGACATTCCCACAGCCGCCCAGTCAGGGTAGACAGCCTCCACCGGGTGCCAAGGAGGGGCTAAGTGGGGCTGATGTGAAGAGGCCATCTCTCGGAGGCCTGGGGCAGGAAGTCATGGTTGGGTCTGTGGGGCTGGCAGTCCCCAAGGGCCGAAGACCCCATCCACCACTCGAGGTGCATGGCCTCGCTGCTTGCTATCCAGCATTCTGCCTGTAGCCTGGTGTCTCCAGCCATTGTCTTCCTGTCCCCCAGGGCCCCGGACACCATCCCACAGGAAATCCCAGCCCAGCCCCAGGTCCTGATGCCATGGCCTGCCTCCCTCAGTGCAGTCAATGGGCTGGAAGCCGGCCAATCTAGTGAGCAGTGAGGGCGGCCCCGCGGCCCGAGGCCTGCAGACGGAACAGGACCCTCTGGAAGGGATAGCCTGGGCTCCTCAACTGCATGCGCCCTGTCCCCAGGCAGGGCCAGCATGTACTGCTGTGCCAACGCTCGGCTCAGCATCTCTCTGGGTTGGCTTTCCTGTGCAGAACTGGACTCAGCCATCTCAAAGCCCCTTCCCCACGGGATGAGCTACTGTTTCTGCCTAAGGTTTGCTGTGGGATGCGGCGACACAGCATGGGGCTGGCACCTGGCAGGTCAAGGGCCTGCTCTGGACTTCTCCAAGTGACGCTACCTCGGGCTGCAGGGAACCCACCCACCAGTCATCACTGAGGCCTGCCAGGCCACACACAGGAGTACCAGCCGCTCCGTCCTGTCAGTGACAGCTCTTCACACAACCGTGCACAGCGGCCGGCCAGTTCCCAACAGCCAGACCTCTGCATGCCGAGCCAGGGCTGGGCGCCCACGTCACTCAAAGGCTCCCGTTACCCCACAAGCCTGGCCCCTGGGCAGGGGTGGAGCAGAAACAGGAAGGGCCCCAGTCGCCTCAGCCCTGGCCGGGGTCCTGAGGCTTGCGGGGTCTCGGCCCAGCTACTGCAGGGCAGCTCTGGCCTCGGGAAGGACAAAGGGCTTTCTGTGCGAGCGCCTCTCCTGGGCTTGGCTCCGGGCGCCGCCACAGTGGGGAGTGCCCCGACCAGCACCGGTCCTCCTGTGCCCTGGCGCGTGCTGGCCTTGCTGCTGCCTGGACCCCTCCTGGCGGCTCCTGAGCCCTGGCAGCATGAGTGTCCTCACACAAGTGGCCGGTGCAGGCTACAGGGGGGACTGGGGTCCTGCCCTCCCCACCCAGGGAGGACACCTCTCAGGGCCGAGGAAGCACATTGCCTGCAAAGCCCACGACTGCAGTCCCAGTCGGACAGGGAGCCATCCAGACGGGCCGTTTCCTGTGCGGGCGGCACCACAGCCTTCCACAGGGCTGTTTGTTGTTCTGGTTTTGCTGATGGTGGTTTTGTTCTTGTTGTTTTAATTTTGCCAAGAAAGAGCTGAATAGACAGAGGAAAAGTGAGAAAGCACGCCTATAGGGCATGGTCATGCCCCAACTCCCTCCCCTCCGCCTCTCCCTTCGGGATTTTGGGCACGCACAGACACATGCACACCTCAACCAGCAGGACTAGAACCTTGCAGTGGGCCACTGGGGAACCACACCCAACCACGCCATGGCTGGCCGGCCACAGAAGGGCCACTTCGTTACCTCCTCACGTCTGAGAGCCAGCACTCAACGGGCCCAGCTCAATGTCACGGGAGATGCCCAGAGGCACCACACCCCCTGGGGCCAGCTGCCACCGAAACACCTCACACCACCGGAAGCTCCCACTGGGCTACTGCCTTCACCCCAGAAGCTGGGCCGCTGTGGGTTGGCCAGGGGATGGGCCTGACAGAAGGGGCAATCACAGGCTTTTCCCATGTCTCCTATGGGACACAAGCCCCCAGGATGTGAGACAGACCATGCGACTGCTGGAATCCTGTTCCCCGCTGCTCTGGGCCAGAGAAGCCAGTGGGGAGTGAGCAGGCATTCCCTGAGCCCAGGGGAAGTCGCCCTTCCGTCCTTCCAGCAGATCCTGCTGCCTCCAGGGGGCCAAAGGTCTTCCCATGGCGCCTGGTGCTCCCTGGCCCTTGGGAGTGAGCCCCGCCCCAAGCAGCAGGTGGCCTTGCCCCCGGCCAGGGCTGTGCTGTCCCTTCCAGTGCTGGACACCTGCGGGCAGGGGACCCAGGCCAGGGCAGGCCCCACCCACAGCAGCCCCGCCCACGGGGCTGACTGGCAGTCTGGGGGACACACGTCTGTCAGTGTGAGAACACCGCCCACAGGCTCAGGAACTGTGGGGGCACACGCAGACGGGAACCGGGCCAATGCCACGGCCCAAGTGCTCCCTCCCCATCAGGCTGGAGATCTGCCAGTGGAACAGGTGCGTCGGGAAATGGGGCAGGTGCGGTCTGTCTCTCGGCCTCATGGTGCTGAGGAAGCTGAGGATCCCGGAACAGACACCAGAGCTTGTACAGGTCGAAACCCACGCAGAAGACACTGATCCACGCCTGTGCATACACGTACACGCATTCATGCACACATGTGTGCAGCTCACTGTTCAGAAAGCTGCTTGGACTAGACCAGTTTGAAATTCTAAGGCCAGCTGAGAGCCTCTGGGGTCTGCAGGCTTCGGGCTAGGAGGGACACGACGGGTCTTCACCATGCCACATGCCACAGGTCACTGCACATTGGTGTCCTTTCCTCAGAGCCAAAGGGATCCTGACCAACGTCCTCATTTCCCAGGGAGGACATGGAGGCCCAAACCAGGCAGTTGACACTCCGCTCTGCGGAAACCGCCTGGCCTGCGGGGAAGACGCCCCGTACCAACACGCTTCCCGCAGGCTAGGTGGAGTGGGCACATCCCTGCTGGCACTAGGCAGCTCTGCTCACAGGGACCCACGGGGCTGCTGCTGCGGCGTAACCGCCTTTCCTGGCCTCGCCGACGCCAGCAGGAACCCGGAATTCCCTCAGAGGCCAACGGGAAGTGACCTCGGCTCTTGGGCAGTCAGCACTCGGCTGGGCCAGTTAGAAACTCGACACAGGGACAGGAGAGCCGCTGTGCCCCCGAGGCCCTCCGTCCTCGGGCAGGGCACTTCCCCAGCACTGTCCTGCAGTCACCCCAGCTCTGTAAGCTCAGGAGACAGCAGCTGCTCAGAGGCGGAGGCCAGAGGGATGCGGGAGGCTCTGCTCTAGAGGGTGGACACCGAGCCCAGGTCTGCCCGCACCAGGGAGGGACGGGACTCGGCAGTCTTCAGCCTGCCAGCGGGACTGCCGCGTATGCCCACGCTGTCCCCCGCACCACCACACCCGCCCTGACGGACGCACACCACCAGCGCCCACACTGCCCGGGCACAGCCAAGGACACGCTGCAAAGCCAACAGCCCGACAGGGCTCCTCGGCACGCCGACCCCCGTGAGCTCTCGCACGACCAAGGACTTCCGGGACGTGACGCTGACTGCGGGACATGAGCACACAGCCCACTGCGGTGACCACCGTGCTCTTTTTACTTGAGACAAGGATGAAAGCTAGACAGTCAGGGTCCGCATCGCGGGGGAAGCCAGGCAGGGGCCGCAGGTGGTCTCCACAAGTCCTTCAACGCCATCGTGGCTGTGTCCACACGCTGCCACAGGGCCCCGTGACAAGAGGCCTGGCCGCGGCTGCTGCTACTCCGGCCTCACTGGACATCGTCGTCATCAAAGAGGTCTTCGAACTCTGTGGGCGTGAACGAAGCACACGTTAATGGGCACACCAGGACTCGCCTCACAGCCGACTTCACGGCGGTTCAGAACAGAGGGCCAGCAGCGGCCTAACGGCACCCTTGCCCTCAAGACTTGGGGACACTGTCAGGGGCACGGTGATGTCCAGGACGTGTTTCTCTCATTTTTAGTGACAAAAGGTCTCAGGAAAGTGTGTGGGAGACTCCAGGCCACACCTGCACCTCACAGCCACGCTGGGCACTGGGACAGGGCAGCACTGTCCTCACCTGCCTTGGGCACCTGAGCAGGGGCTGTGGGCTGGGCCGGGAGGGACGAGGAGGCCGAGGTTCATGCTGGGTCCTCGCAGGCAGAGACAGGCCGGGCCCACTGCGTGCTAAGACAAAAGCGCGGACGAGGGCTGGGCGAGGGTGGAGAAGGCCGAGTCCCGGGAGGAGGACTCCCAAGAGGGTCTGGGGCTGTGTCCAGAGCCAAGCATGAGGAACACGGGTTGACTCCGCCTGCTGGGGGGGGGCACAGCAAAGCCACAGTGTGGTGCTCAGGGGACTGCGTCACACCCTCACCCCTCTGCCGTCGGGAGCCTTCCAGATCCCCACACGGTCAAGGGCACTCTCACCCATGCCATTCACGGACACAGTGCTCCGAGGATGGCAGGAAGTTGTGGGCTGGACCGGCAGCTGGCCTCCTGGTGATCAGCAGAGTGGGGCAGAGGCCTATTGGTGCCCCCGCACCTGGCCTTCCGGCAGAGCAGGGACCATGTGTCCCTGGCCACTGCAGGGCCTGGCTCTCCCCATCCCTGGCTCCTGATTGGTCTCTGAGCACTTCCTGCCTTGTCCCCATGCCTGGCCAAGTCCTTCTGCCCTTCAAAGACTGCTCTGTGGCCGCCCCCAGAGCGTGCCCCAAGGAGCTCCTGGGATTGCTCCCTGATTGCCCTGCCCTCACTGGGGTGCTGCCCCTGCCGGACCTCCACTGCTGTGCTCGGCCTGTGCTGACGGCCTGCAAATCCGGTCCGATGATGGCGAGGACAGGCAGTGCCACCACCCCGGGCACACAGAGCTGGCGGCAGTCCCTAAGCCGGAGCTGCCTCGCGCTGCCGGGACGGGCCGTGGCAGGAGGGGGCACCTCCCCACCCGGCCCCCCCGCCCGGGGGTC